CAGTCCCAGTTGCTCCAGCCCTGAAGAAAGACAGAAGAACCTGCAGTGCACGATGAGATGGTGCGCACAACCAAGTTTGTCTAGCTTTTCTCAGCTTCTACTCTGGCTCAGGTCGTGCAGACGCAGCATCTTTGCCCATCCGAGTTCCGCAGGCCACGGTCTCTACGCATAGACGGTCATGCAATCCCTGGTGGTGCTAACATAGGTATACACATATGATGGATATGTTTGTTTGATTATGGTCACACCCACACAGCCTATGCAGCTTCCGGCAACAAGTTGAGCAGGACGGGCAGCAGTTCAATGCATAAGAGAAGCGGTATCGGTTTCTTTTCGGGGCCTAGCGGGAACATTCAAAGCTCGTGTGAGGATGCCTGCCGCTTGTCTCGGCATGAAGCTGTGCCGGCGAGGAGCCTTGCTGTCCGGTAGCAGCATCCAGATGCAGCTTGATCGTGTTGTAGCTTCTCAGTGCGCTAAAGCAGGTGTACGTTCCCAAGAGTTCTTGCTTGTCACAGTGGAAGTCGCGCAGGACGCAAGGCGACTCTGCAAAGACCTCAGTTCCTCACATAGTTCGAGGAGCAGTTTGCTGAACTCTTGTGGAGCGCAATGAAAGTCACGGCCTCTGCTTTCCAGAACTATGCCACCGTCATCCGCTGTCCCAGGTGGAGCCTTTCGTGCTGAGTGACTTGGTGGCTGGCCAGGCCTTGCACTAGGCGGGCGAGTCAAGGGGCCGAGGGCTGCTCGACACCATCTACTGTAGTACCACGTATTTGTCTTCCCATCTTGCCAAGCAATGCCAAGCAAGAAAATTTCCCCACTTTCGTGGCATCTGAATGTAAGATGCAGAAACGGCGAACAGAGAGCGGCGAGGCAGACGAGATGCAGCCAAGTGGTGAACGAGCTACCAGTGTACAGACAGCCGGGTCAGTCACTGCAAACGTGCTGCTGCAAAAGTGCCGATGCCAGCACATTTCAGGGATTAAGGATGTATAGCCCAACATCAAGACATCTCACAGGCTTGGGGTGATGCCGAGCGCAGTGCAAGCACGCAAGCATGACGCATGAGTCACATGAGGTTCCAGCTGTTCTGCCGTCACTGTTTGTGGCAGCGTTTGCAGTGACAGGGGCTCCAGGGGTATTGTGGAGCAGATGGAGCAGCTACCTGCAGACTGACGCAGCCCAGCACAAGGAGCTATCCGAAGTATCCAGCAGTTATTCCGGATGGTGGCTGTAGCAGTTTGCAAGTAAAGGCAACAGAGACGAGACGCAAAAAAGGTTATCCACAGTTGAAGTCTTCCTTTCGATGCGGCATGTGCAGCTCATGACCGCTGAACTTTCTACGTTTTTGAATCGCTTCAGCCTTTGGCTTGAGCTCGAAAACCTCAGACCCTCCTGGCCTCCCATCTTGCGTCACAGGGAATGCCCAAGGACGGGCTTGGGGGACAGGGGCTCCATTACACTACTTGTAGGGCATTGTAGGGCACGAGGCTTTAGATGACCCAACGTCGACCACCGAAAACATGATGCCGCTAGGTGAGAGGAGCCGAAGCAGTTGCAAAGGAACGTGAGGGATGGCCAGAATGGGCAGCACACGGGAGGAGGAGGGTACGGTGCCGGAACGCAGGCAAATAGCTGGGCAAACCCGACATAGCAAAAGGATATTTAGGTTTCGCTATGTAGCTTGCAGGGGAACAGCTCCATTTTTGCTTTCGGACAACTAGAGACAGACCGTGAGATAACGAAGGCGGTAGGAAGGCTTCGATGCTGGAAGGCCCCGCCGAACCTGCCGATGTTCACGGAAAGTCGTTGTTCACAACTAACTGTCACCCAAGATCCACATGAACCCCTGAAACTAGTTTTTTTGTGAAATACTCCCAGCACTGAGCTGATATAACTGGCTTGAGCATTTGCAGAGCATGTGTGTAGCATGATTTTTAAGTTCGTGCCTTTCTGAGCAAAACACTCCCTTATGATTCGTAAATTCCCGCTGGGCTGCCGCTGCTGTATGAGTTTAACTGTGAGTTCCAAAACCCACATGGGCGAAACAAGGTTCGATTTCGCCAGCTATTGGGCTTGGAGTTCTCCAAAGCACCAGTCACGGCAAGCCTTGTCACTCAACTCAACGATTCCAGGAAGTCGAGGGAGAGAATGCGGCAGCGACCGATGCGGACTTGACCCTTCATTCGCTCTTCCGAGTGGACAACAAGGTGGTTCTGGTTACAGGACGGGCGTGCATGATTTTTCAAATCCTGCAGGGACCTTGTGTCTGGTTCTCTCATAGTCATAGCATATCTTTGACAATGCATCTATCTTGTTCTGTTCGGCATCATGTTTGCAAGATCTTGCAAGTTTGCCATTTCTCCTAATACGAGGTGGCGGATCTGGCATCGGTGCCATGATTGCTTCTGGATTTGTGCAGCCGCTCGGCTTTCCTGCACCACCATACGACGCGCCCCACCCTCGACCCTCGGTCGCTGTTGAATCGTGAGCCTTGTTTCCGGGTGTTTCATGTGCAGCCGCAACATCCTATGATCCACACTTCCTACTTGCACCTTGTGGGGAGCTAGCAACTAGTACTTACCAGCAGAATGGCTCGCAAGGAATGGCTGTCGAGTGTACATTGCCTCCCGGAAGGACGGACAGGGCCACCGCTGCTAGGCAGCTCCCTGTTGACTTGTCACTTGTCGCGACCAGAGGAAGCGGAAGGCGTGCAGCACTGCGATTGATATGGCAGGATACTTCCAAGTATGCTGCTGAACTGACTTCCAAAGGACCTTGCCGAGTTTCGAAGCTCTAGGCACGACAACCTGGCATACTTAAACGACGCACTGAACCTCCATGTAGACAGAGTTTCAATACCAGCAACATACACTGCAACATTGTGTCAGTCGCGGTTTGCCAGATAGGATCATGTCGGACGGAACTACCAGCTCAGCAGGACCAGGACGCTGCACAGCTCTCACCTGCGATATCAGCCCCTTCGCTCCACTCGATGCTTGCAGTTCTAGCATGTTTTCGCTAGCACTCGTGACCGTCAACTTCATTGCATGCTGCACAGTGCAGTTAATTTGTTATCATGGTGCCGAAGCTTCTTCCCACGTGAGCTCAGGCAAGTACGATCAGCAAAAGATGTTGATCGACTCCATTGAAAAAGCTGAAGGGAAGCTGCATGCCAGTCTCCCGGTGCTCTATTTGGCATGACTGGCGGATGACACTAGCTCCTCAACTCACACAGTGGCTGAGATCCTGGTCAACAACAGCGGGACAAACTTCAATGCACCCCTGGGAAACTCGGCGAATGCCCGTGCTTTGAGTGCAGAGGCTTCCTCAAGAACGCAGAGTGCTCAAGTTGAGGAAAGTACAGCCCGGAGATGTTCGAAAAGGTTATGCAGTTGAACACCAATGCTGTGTTTGCTTTGACGCAGTCTCTCTGAAGCATTTTCAGGGAAACTTGGATGTTGAGCTTCGGTGGGTGGTTCGCACGCACTGAGTTTCTCGGACTAACTGACTCATGGACCTGCCTAACAATCTGACAAACAGCTGACAAGGTTGGCTGTGCCTTTGATGGAGTCCTCAACTTCCAGGGATGATCCCGGCAGCCGCTTCGGTGAAATATTGCCTTTCAAGTTTGCTCAGCTTCTGTCGCGGATAGAACAAGATTGGTTTGACAAGCTGCGTTCTCCAAGTCTTCAGGAATAGTCCACATCTCTTCCGTGAACGGCCTGCAGACTCCGCTGATCGACACTTTTGCGTACAGCTCCAGCAAAGCTGCTGCCACTCCCTGAGGGACTTTGAGGTCCGAAATCGGACATCGTATTCAATGATCTTCCTCTGATAGCGGTTCCCTGCTCTCTTTGCGTGTGAGGTTGTCATGCTCTCCAAGCACCTTGCGGGAGCTTTGGGTCCACGACACATCACGTCCAACTGCATTTGCCCTGGGCCCTTCATGTCGCGGATGATGCGAGGGACCATTCAGGCATGTTACAAATGTTGGCAGGTTTCCGTTTTGAGCCTCGTGGCTCCTGTTTCTTCCCTTGCTTATGCATTCAAATCTTCTTCCCTGCCGTGCACAGCCTTGACACCTGGTCACCTGGACCAGGCTGTCGGTGAGGACGGCATTGCGGGCAGCACAGCTCTTTCCCGATTAGGGTTGCCCTCCGACATTGCAGGTGGGCTCAATTGCCTCGCAGCTTGAGTTTCCCGTGTCCTGCAGCACACCTGGCCAGGTGCCTGCCTTTTCCTTTGTAGCCGCGCCGGCTCTTTCGTCACGGGCACCGAGTTCGCCCTTGATGGCGGTTCGCTGGTAAGTCGTGCTCCGAAGAGCAGCTACTGAGAGTAAGTTGTAGCACCGCCGAGAAAGTCTGAATTAAAACTCACCAGCATCCCACCCTCTTATGGCTCTGGCAGTTTGCTTCCAGATGCTTCCAAACTGTTTAAGTTTCACTGCGAGGTCTTTATTGCAGAGCTTAACCAGCTCCGTCTACTAGGCCACACACGAGTCGAAGAAAATCCAAGACCGTGGCGTTGTTCTGTTCCATGTGGCCACTATGAAGAAGAGCTTGAATCACCATTGCTCCACTCACCACTATCGAAGCCATCAGTGGCATCAAGCCAGCGAGTGCTGGCAGCATGTCGAGCTCGGGAGCATGTACCCGGTATTCATGAAAAAAGCGACTACCACAACAGCACATTGCATACAGGCACCAAAGCCATAATCAGCAAAGTCCTACACGTCCACACTCCTTCATGCACCGATTCCTACATGGCCCAAAACCAATGGTAAAAACCATGATAAGCAAGGCGGCCCCCCCCAGCACAAGTCGACCTGATCGAGTCATCGCTCTCATCCCCAAGATTTCGAAAAGGATAGTCATTATGGCATATTATGGTATTACTATGGTATAGTATTATGGTATTATTATGGTATCTGATAGTGTGTCCAAGACGGAAATATTCTCGCTGCCGATGATTGGGTTCTCTGCCACGGCTAGCTGACGGCCATGGTGCACATCTTGAGTTTCTTCTTCGACTCATCTTCGAGTTTGTGATCATGAGTTATGAGTTCGTGCATTTGCAGATGCCATCGTTAGAAGCCGAGGTGGTGCCAGTGGGAGGCATGGGCTCCTCCATGGGGGGGGCTCCCCCACAGCAGGCCTGAAACCTGCATGAGAGACTAGGACCCCAGGCCCTAGGAGTGCAAGCGCGTCTGGCAGGGTGTGAGCTTGGGCTCTGAGTGTTTGCTACGAGGTGCTCCTTACTATGCCGTACCTCAAGGCTGCCCTGGTCGCGGACTGCAGCTCAGAGCCAACGTTTCCAGAAGTATGGCGGAAACAAGGCTGCGTTGTAACTTTCTTCATGTTCATCCGAGGTCACGATCGTTGTTATCGGCGAGTTTGCGGCCACATACTTCAACGAGGATGCTGGGGACGGGTCATTCAGGCCCGCGTTGGTCAGCAACCTCTTTTGCGAGCCGGCAACAGGCAATATCGGACTGCTTGACGCCTTTGTTCGGCATCCTCGTTCTCAGAGATGCTGGGAGCCTGAGGTTGATGCGTCAGTGTGGCATTCGGTATGGTCCGCCCTCACACTGCACATCGGCATGAAGTCATGCACACGCAGGGGGTTGTGCATAAAGCCTGTTTATGGACGATGACTTCCATGATTCAGGTCACACAGGCTGGTCAGTGCGTGCTTTGCCTGGGGTGTGGCTGGCGTGATTGATCTACGATGAACTTTCGTGCCGGCATCCTAGTACGTCCTGCATGACCTCTCCAGTCATCATTTCTGCCGCCAGGGTGATCTCGGGCATTCGTCTCAGCTGTGTTGATATTCGCCTGTTGGTGGTGGATGCCTGTGACCAGTCATCGCTGAGAGTCTTGAGACGAAACTGACGTAGCTGCAATACTTGGTTCAAGCAAGTAGGTGGCAGGTTGAGTTGCAATCATATTTGTCCTTTTAGACGTAACTTTTTCATGCCTACCCCCACTGCCCCACCTGCCTACCTACCCCGCCTACCCCTTAACCCTAAACCTTTTAGTCCAACACGAAAACCCGAAGGACTTTTCACCAAGACGATAACCCTAAGGAAAGAATCCAGCAGGAATCTTTTCCCGAAGACGAAAGTCCTAACGGCTGAATCCAGCAGGAGCCATTTACCCAAGACGAAAACCCTAAGGAGTGAATCCAGTAAGAACCTTTTACCCAAGACGAAACCCGTAAGGAGTGAATCCAGCAAGAGCTTTTTACCCAAGACCAAAACCCTAAGGGGTGAATCCAGCGGAACCTGCCCAAGACGAAGACCTCAAATGAAGCTTGTGTGAGGGATACAAAACGCAAATTGTGGTTAGGTGCTAAATACACCAGAAAAGCTAACACGCCAGGAAAAGTTAGTCGCTTGGTGCTAAACACACCAAAACAAGCTCTAACTAAGATGCCTGTTTTGCAACCCTCTGCAGAGATTTGCTGTATTTGAAGCCGAAACAAGTTACAACTTGGAAAGTTACAGAGGGAAAAAGGTCATAACTAAGTCTTCTACCAGCAAGTATCGCAAGAACTTCAGAGCACGGCACGGGTGCGAATCAAGGCTTCCTTTCTGTTTTGTGAAGCATGTCCAGGCTTCGCTGACTGTGTGCCGCACGAATGGTGTGCAAAGCAGCTTCAATACTCAACAGGACAAAGCAGCCTTCCAAGATGTTCAACAAAGGGTTACTTTACTGTACAACAAACCTATCGCAGTTGAAGTGGTGGCTGTTTCAACTCAAAGTCCAACTGACGCAAAGATTTGCCGGGCGCAATGAGCCTGGCCCGGAGCCACTGCAAAGCGACAACCATGCCTGGCGTGGAAGGTTTCGGGGTAATGCCTGCTACGTTAGGTGAGTACCTAACTACAGCCAAAGAGCGTACTGAGCAGCGAAACGGTACATCCCAAGCAATGGCCCCTTGCGCAAGTAAAGTTTTCAAAAGGCACGTCCATGCACGTACGTCTCGGCTGAAACAAGCAACGGTTTGAGTCTCACAAGCATCCTTGGAAACCCATGTTGCTTTCTTCCAGTTTTGTACTGCCTCCAGCTTGTGAAGCATGACCAATGAAGATACAATACGACTAACACTATCCAGGCCGTGTAGTGCAACCCCATTTGAGGGTGGCGGCCCAATTGAGAACAGACTGCACGAAGTCGCGAGGCAGCGACAAACTTGCAAACCACGAAGCTGGCAAAGGCACCACAGCATATGCCCTGCCATTACCTGAAGACTCCAAGCGTTGCAAATTGAATGTGTCACCCTGCACCTGTACGGGTGGCAACGCAAAACGTTGCTCAGCTGACTGACCAACAAAATCAAGTTGCCGTTTTGCAGTTTGTGCACACATTGCACGGCTATACAGCGCATCAGGAAGGAGCCGCTCAGCTACTTGCTTCACTTCAACATCAACCATTGCGTTGTGGTAAGCGTCAAAACGGGGCTTCCCTTGAAGTGCTTTCCCATTCTTATGAGCTGGCACCTTGCAGATGTTGATCGCTTCACGCCTGCCGGCAATCAATCCTGAAAGCATCTCCACATGTCTTGGTTGCACCAAGCAGCACCAACCGAACTACCCTGAAGCAATTCTTGTTCTCGCTGCGTAAACAGGAGATAGTCCGAGCGAATTGCAGCAGCCCACGCAATCAAGGCTTCAACTGCCTGTCTGACCTGACATCGTCACAGCCCTGGAATCTACAGTACACTGTACTGAGCATCAGACACGAAAGTTAGACTAACTCTCACTTGATGTCAGCAGGCTGATTCTGATCCTCATCGGACGGCATTACATTCCTGGCGCAAAGCGGGGATCTTGCAGCGAATCATCACTGAGACCGCTGAGGAGAGGAGTGAGGAACGTTCGAGAGCTGAAACGGAATGGTCGTGGATTTGAGAACGCGGCATTCCATTTCCTAGGTATTTCTTCTCCACCGTGTGCTATGGAGACGCCGGTAGCTGAGAAAACCTCAAACAAGTGGGATTCCTCGGAGGAAACCGTATCTGTTCAAGGGCTAGCTAGTCGAGAAGCCGAGAAGCATTCGTCTAAGAGCCTGCCAAGCCAGTCTGAATTAAGCCTAGCACCCTGATCTAGTGGCTTTGCAGCCAGATGCCCGAAGCTCATCCGTGGACGCTGACATGAAGTATAACATGTGCTATGCCATGCTAAGGTCCAAGTGTACGATCCGTCCACTAGAAAGACAAAGACTGAGAACATGGAGGCGCAGAGTCTCGCGAGCAGCGAGTGGCTAGCTGTCGAGAGGTATGTCATCATGACAAGTTCATACTGAACTTCTTCGCATCCTCGCACAAGTATTTCAGCGGAAAAGAAAGCGTATTGCGTTGATCTCATCGGAATCGCCAGTTGTGCAGCTGGCAAACAGTCGTCGGCAATGTATGCATTGTGTCCGGGCCTGATGCGCTTGTTGTGACCAGTCGGGGGCCCTTACACTCACCACTGAGTCTCCTAAAGACTTCCAGTCCCATCGTTGTTAGTTGTTCTGGGCAGTGTTGCCAAACTACAGGCTCGGAGTTCTGACCCAGCTGATCTGCTGCAGACTCAGCCGGGGCCTTATCCTCCAAGGTATCAGGGGACAGGTCTGGGACCAACTGACTGACTACCGGACCAGGTCTTAAGATCTTCCAGGCCTACCAGCGAGAGGGGATGAATGCCATGTACGGCGCTAAGCATCGTTGGCAGTGCTGCTGTAGTGGGATCATGCCCGTTCCAGTTCTGCTTCGTCACCCTCTGCAGCATCGCTGCTGCACGGTTTGAGAATCGCTTGTCACGTGCGTTGCAAGAACCGCTTCCAATGCTCCTATCATCATTGCACATAGCGTTGCTGTTGGCGTCCGATTTCCATGTTGGCTGTCATTGGTTGGAGATCACTGCCAGGTGCACTGTCATGAAGTAGCCGTACGATCCTTTGCAACTAGCGGAAATGGCAATAGCAGAAGTGGCAGTAGCAGTAACAGTAGTAGTAGTAGTAGTAGTAGTAGTAGTAGTAGTAGTAGTCGTAGTGGGAGTGGGAGTAGTAGTAGTAGTAGTAGAAGAAGAATGTGCCGGGAAATGAGGGCCATTCTTTGTGACCAAGATTTTGCTAATCTTGCAATCTTGGTCCCAGGTGGCGCAAGTGGTGCAAGTGGTGCAAAGCAAGATGACCAAGATTGCCCCTCCCCTCGCCCCTCCCGAGTGGTCCAAGTGTTTTTTGGGAACCTTGTGCGCCAATCTTGCACCCCCCCAAACAAAAACACAAGATTGCAAGATTGGCCGTACAATCTTGGTCTAATATCGGCCCTCGTTTCCCGACACATTGTAGTAGTGGTGGTAGTAGTAGTAGTAGTAGCAGCAGTAGCAGTAGCAGTAGCAGTGGTTGTTGTTGTTGTAAGTAGTATGTAGTAAGTAGAAATAGTAGGTCAGTAGGTAGTAAGTAGTGAGTAGTACATAGAACGTAGTGCGTAGAAACTAGCAAGTAGCAAGTAGTTAGTAGTCGTCGTCGTCGCAGTGGCAGTGGTAGTTTGGTGGTAGTGGTAGTAGTGATAGCTGTCGGTGTCGTCGTCGTCGTGCGGTATTGGTAGCAGTCGCACTACTAAGAGCGGACGCTGCAGCAGCAGTGGCAGTCACACTGCGGTGATGAGTTTGACTAACGTTCTGTTTGTTAACAGAGCAGAAGAAGCACTAGCATGCAACCGTCATGCTTCTTCTTGATGTTGTCCGCTTAGCCATTGATGGACCGGTATGATACGATGTAGGGTTTTGTCACATTTATTACCATGCCTCCTCTACACGAAAAAGCTACTGTCAGCCGGCAATCCAGTTGATTTTCTCATGGGATACAAGTAGAAGAAATGAGCATGCGGCCCGTCAAAGCTACACCGACATAAAGAGTCACTGGCCCGATGTAGCAACATAATGTTTCAGGCAAGTCTCAAGGCAGTACTGGCTCGAAATTTGAAGCCCTGCATCCTGAGAACTGAGTGCGCTGAGGCTTGATGAATACGAAGGTGGGGCGAAGTTATGTGCCGCGGGAGAAATCGCTTGGGGCAAAGATTGTCTTTTTGTTAAGGGTGTGTCAGGCTATGATGCTGCTGCTGCTGCTGCTGCTGCTGCGGCTGCTGCTGTTGCTCATGCTCGAACTGCTACTGCTACTCCTACTCCTAGTACTATTACTACTAATCGAACTACCACTAGTACGACTACCACTACTACTACTACTACTACTACTACTACTACTACTACTACTACTACTACTACTACTACTACTACTACTACTACTACTACTACTACTATCTACTACTATCTACTACTATCTACTACTATCTACTACTATCTACTACTATCTACTACTATCTACTACTATCTACTACTACTACTACTACTACTACTACTACTACTACTACTACTACTACTACTACTACTACTACTACTACTACTGCCTCTGCCACTACCACTACCACTACCACTACTACGACTACTACTACTACTACTACTACTACTACTGCTACTGCTTCCGCTTCTGCTTTTGCCTCTGCTACTGCTGCTACTACTACTACTACTGCTGCTGCTACTACTACTACTACTATTGCTACTACTCCTCCTCCTCCTCCTACTGCTACTCCTACTGCTACTGGCAGTAGTATTGCTGCTGTCCCTGCTACCGCTCCTGCTGCTGCTACTATTGCTACTACGACGACTGCTACTGCGACTACGGCTACGGCTACGGCCACGACTACTCCCATTACTACTCTTACTCCGACTCCTCCTCCCCGACTCCTCCTCCTCCCACTCCTACCACTACCACTACCACGACCACTACTACTACTGTTACTACGACTACAACGCCTAGTACTACTACTACTACTACTACTACTACTACTACTACTACTACTACTACTACTACTACTACTATCTACTACTATCTACTACTATCTACTACTATCTACTACTATCTACTACTACTACTACTACTACTACTACTACTACTACTACTACTACTACTACTACTACTGCTACTGCTACTGCTACTGCTACTACTACTACTACTACTACTACTGCTACTCAGCCACCATTTCCCACATGGCACATCGTTGCAGTCGGAGCTTATCACCCAAGAAGACCTCCAGTATTGTCGCCCCTGTCAATTTGAAGGTCCGGCAGGCAGCGGGGCCCCGAATCCCCAGCCGCAAAAGGCCTAAAGGCGATGGCAAAACCGACACCGTACAAGTAGCAGCCTTAAACCCCAGCACTTACATGTCCGAAACAGGCTGAAACTTCAAAGTCAAAATCGGACACATTCTTAAACCCTTAAATTTCTACACCATATCCCCGAATCGGACCGCCCTGAAACTCAAACCAAACGAGAACAACCTTAAGTGCAAGCTTGAAAACCCAAGAATCCAGAAAGCCTGAATGCATCCACGAAACCGCAACACCCCTAAACCTCCTGCAGGAGAGCCTGGGGATGGCCTGCGAGCCTCAGCGCCCGGGGTCGCGGACTTGCCGCACCCTGGCGCAGTGGCAGGAGTCCTGGACAAGTGTATCTTTGTTGGTGGCTGTTGGATCGGAGGATGGACAGGTGGAACATCGAGGATGCAGGATGTAGCTCGAAACAGCGGGTCATCGAAACCAACCATCTCAAGACATTGTGGGTTTAAAGGGATGCTAGGGTGACAGGAAGCAGCAAGCATGGGATGAGAAGGTGGTGCGTCACGAACAGGGAAGCCACGAATGCTAGTGATACTGCACCGGCTTGAACAACGAAGACGGCTGAAACATGGGCGGTGCACTGTCGCCTGACGAGCCCAAAGCTGGCTGGAATGGTGCTTGTCGGACGGTTTCCTCTTGGGCCGAGACGACGTGATGTCTTTCCGGTCCTATTCTCACCAGCTTCCCTTTCCCGACATGTACCAACTCTTTTCTTTGCCCACTTCCTCTATCGCCGGCGGAGTCCTCGACTAATCACAGGTGCCAAGGGCAAACGACCGCAGCATGGTGCTTGTGGCGGTTGCCATTGCTGATAATGAAAGTGTCAAGGCGTCGATGCTGATGCTTTTGCCGCAGTTGCCTCGTCTCATTCGGGCTGTTGCTGCTAAGTTGCGAATCCTTAAGGCCGACATGCTGTAAACCTGCACGTCCTAGGCCCCAGGCTTTGTCTGAATGACAAGTTAAAAGCAAACCTCAGTCCTAAACCCCGGCCGCAGCAACCGTAGCACCGAACCAAACCTGAATCCTAAACTTAGGCAAAATCATTCCTGCCCGAGGCTCCCGAGGGCCCTGCTTCCTCGGGTTCGAGAGCCAGCAACAGGCCCAGGCAGTGAAGAGTCCGAAAGTGGGGTACATGATCTAGGTAAGCTTATATAAATGTTATATTATATATATATATATATGTATATATGGTATGTATTCTATGTATGTATATCTATATCGATATCGATATATATATATATATATATATATATATAGATATATATATATATATATATATATAGATTTAGAGCACACCGTTAGATGCATTAATCTCAGGGAGTGAGCTCTCGGCATGGCCCGGCACATTTAAATCTAACATCGGCTGTGTTGAACGACCTGCGACGTGTGATTTGAGCCCCAAGCTTCCGGCCAGGGGGTTCGTGCCCTTCAGTGGAGAAGGACAGAGGTTGGGATAACGCCCCACTGGCGGGAAAAAAGACAACTGCATTCCGAGCTCGCACAGCATCTGTGCGATCTGTGTTTGTTGAAGCATGACTCCAGCAATCGCGACCCATGCTGATGCTCAGCGAAGAGAAGTCAGAGGAGACAGATACCAAGCAAGCATGTCTGCAGCTTGAAGCAATCCAGGCACAGATAGGTGGTCTAATAGCAGGTTCGTAAAGTAATCAGGTCTCAAGAGCGAGAAAGAGCTTCCTTGTGCCTGGAGGCTTAAGTGCCCAACAAATGCCACCGGTTGCTCAGGCGAGCCTCAGAACGGTATAGTATTCTGGACCAGTCAAGTCATGGCCGCTTCACCTGGCTGTGAGTCTTTGCGGGAACAGCTGTGCCGACAGCTCAGAAAGTCGGCCGACATGAACTAACGCAATGATGCATGGCATAAAGCAGTGCATTCGTGTCGAGCTGGTTCCCTCTTGACGCACTGGTGGCGCAAGGTCAGATTGAGCAAAGCCTCGGAGTCTGCCACGTTGCCGAAGTTCAGGCTTCTAAGAAGTTGCAGCAGCACGTCTTTGGAGAATCCTGAAAGTTATTGTGTGCGTGGTCATTTTAAGGGCTTGTGTTTTCTTGCCAGGTGTAGGTGTGCTGGGATCCTTTTCTTCATAGTTTGTCCGGTCCACGCCACCATGGTCCTCTTCTCGAGGATTTACCGGTCCCTCGGTCTTCTGCCCGCCCCCGCCCCCCCTGATCCTTTGTTCCCTTGCCCTTTCTTCCTCTAGCCGTGGCACGTCCTTCTACCTGGCTTGGAATTGGCAGTGATTTGGCCTTCTTGTGGGAGCCGTGGGTTCTCGAGTATCGTGAAATATCGTGAATTGCGGCAAACGATTGGTGAATTGCAAGTTGCACTACTCAGAAACTGCTATTTGCAGGCTCATGTTGTGCGGCAAGGCCTGCCCGTTAACTTTGCAATCAAGTCGGCGAACCCAAGGAATCACACAACTGCTCAATTCCCACTAAGCCCAAAGCTTACCGCAACACGTGAGCCTGCAAATTGCAGTTCGTGAACGGAGCAACTTGGAATTCACAACTCGTTTGCCGCAAATCGCGACACTGGAGAACCCACGGCGTCCAAAAGGATGCCAAATCCAGCCAAGCCAGCCAGACCAAGCGAAGGAAGGACGCGTCACAGCTAGGAAAAGGGGCGCGCCGCACACCGGAGAAAACCAACAAACTCTACATGGGCTGTTGCCTGCAAGCCCCTCGTAATAGTGTTTGAAATGGCAACTCGCACAGTCCACGAAGAGATAAACTTGGTGTCAGGCTTGGCCTCGTCCACGGAGGCTTGGCCGGAAGTCCATACATCCTACTATCGGTCCGTTTGCTCTGGCAGCCCTGCCATAACCTTGCCAGGCAACAGGACGGTTTCAATGAAGTGGTCCGTAGCGGAAGCGCGCTGCTGGGGAGCCAGCAGAGGCAGAGAGTTTGGGCTAAGCGGAGCTTGCAGACTCTGACGCGTGAACTTGCATCGAATTGATCGGTGGAGAAACGAGCAGGCTCAGCCCGCCCAAGGACCCTACCTCCAGATCCACAGAACGCAGCCGAGGCAGGGTCACCGGCAATCCAGTGCCAAAATCGGTGGTCAGTGGTCAAAACAGTAGTCTGTCTAACTCGCAGGCGAATCTGGACGACAGGCGGCCGGGCGTGCAAATGCAGTCCATCAACCTGTTCCGCCCAAACAGGCCCGAGCCGTCCAAAGCAATTTGTGTTTGGGTGGGCCACGGCAAGCTCAAGCCGAGATGGCAGACGAGGCAATGGCAAGCAAGCTGGTATCCGTCCCTTGTGTGCCTCAGCGCGGGGCCAAGCAATCCAGCACAAGCGATAAAGCATGTTGCTTTGACCGTTGGACTGGAAGCTTTGTCACCAAGGACAGGGTCTCCGGCCACAGCACGTCACTCGTCGGAGGAGACTGACTTGGCCGGGTGCTCGGCCCTGACAAGCAGAGAGGCCCAAACGGAGTTCAGGGAAGTGAGCTCGAGGACAGCGACTTGGTCATGAAGCTCGACGAGGCCGTCGACAAGTTGATCCGAGGCTCTCCTTAGGGAGCTGCCCGGCTTCTGTGCCGGGCTGGCAGCCGTGTTCCAACTGATTCAAAGCCGACGGTTTATTGCGCAAGGAAGCGTCAGACGTTTGGCTTTCGGCACCGAGAGCCCGGAAAAAAGCAGAGCCGCCGGCCAAGTCGCTGTACTGGGATGCCCGGACTGTTGTATAACTACATATGCATACGAAGCGCACCAGGGAAAATTTCCGTGTCCTTGCTGTCACATGGCACAGAACTTCGTGCCCGGTCGGCTCAAGTTCCATCTGCCTCTGTTTTGAGTAAGTCAGTCACGTGCAGCTCATTGTTCTCATGACTTGAGCAAGTGTCTGGTGTTGTCAATGAGGTCGTGGAGCTTGGCCCCACTTCAGCACCCAAAGAGCAGGCCATTGTCACCGGCCTGTGTGTTCGAGAATCGGTCCCTGCTTGGCTTTGACTTGTTCGAACACTGGTTCATGCTGCAAAAGACCGGGAGAGCTGCAAGAAGTCGCATCGTGATCCATACTTGCACGATTTGACTGGCAACAAGCGTTGTTCACAGCGAACCGCAGGGCGCCAGTCTGCTCAAAGCGGCCCCAAGACTGCCGCAGCAGCTGGCCGAAATCCGAAAGCCTGGCTGACTGTCTTTTCCTGCAGCTGCATTACTTGCACGCGCTCTTTTGCTTCTTACTACAATTCCGATCTGGAGCATAGGAAGATAAATCCGGATGCACCCTAGAACACAGGATGGCAACACTCCTGGGCATGCAAAGGCTGTGTTCCTGGATGTTCCATGCCAGGCAGCTGCGTCAACTGTCGGAAGATTGCGACCGGATGCAGGCCTGCATGGAATTCTCATGTTTCCTCAAGCAGGAAGGGTACTGGAATCCTGGGGTTGAAACATCTGGGGACAACGGTGCAAATCCGCCATGCTCAGAGGATGACGAAAATCACGTCAGCGATCTGCAGAGTCTTCTGGACCAACTTTTCTGGATCCCAAATCCAGCCCTCCAGCTGTGCAGGCTCTCGCCACGGAAGGCCCTTCCGTCGAGGAGGAGCCTTTGGAGTCTGTGGAAGCAGAGCCGGGCCCAAAGCACGTTGAATGGCAAAGCTCTCTGAACCTCCAGACACTTCCAAGTGGA